AGCGTTGATTAAAGAAATCAACGGGATTGAGTTTTCTGTCTATTTTTAAACACCCACCTCCCCTTCCCCCACCACTTCTTTATTTTAATCTTCTTTATTATTGATATTCTAAAAACAACTATATATCAATCATTAACATTCTTGTACATACACAAAATCATTGAAATATAACGTCAGGACAGGTAAGAGCTTTATATGAGGCGTTGAGAACCAAAATGCATCAAGCCACCACATTTTTTTTATAAATACCTAGTATTTAGTAATGAAAGTAATACATTTTTAATATCTGTCTTTTATTTAACTTACAAATATTGTAATGTAAGGATCCACTTTTTCAAAATTGGTCGAAAGTAAATTGACAACAAATTTGTATATACAATTTTTTAAAACGTTTTTCTCCAAATCACAGCTAATGAGGTTATTCCATTCTGGTTTTCAACGGCTCATATATTCATGTCGGTCAAGGAGAACAGTTGAAACAAACGGATAATCAGATAAAATCAAGATCATACGTCGAGATTTATTCTAATCAGTTTAAATCTAACCATTTGTACGCGTATATGTGCATAGGTTTTGAATGTAGCCTCCTCTGTATGTGTAAATGTATTTGCATGTGTGTCCGACTCACACGTGCGAGAGTTGGCTCACGTTCGTGTTATTATGTTCGTATATGTGAGAAAGAGGAAAAAGAATGAACTGTAACATATCTCGAAACTCGTTGTGTTTATTTCCGAGATCCGAGTTGAAAATTCGTAGAGAAAGGCCTTTCGAGGACACGCAAAAGGTAAAACAGAGAAAGAGAACCGTAATCGCATTACAAACACGCAAGCCGCGAAATGAAAACACTCTGTAACTTTTGCAGTGCATATAAATGCGTCCGACAACGTAACAACCAACGCCCTGAGCAAGTTGTCATCCTCGACCGATGCTATTCTATCTCTATCTCTATCTCTATTTCTACCTTTGTCTATCTCTCTCTCTCTCTCTCTCTCTCTCTTTTTCTCTCTTTTTCTATCTCTCTCTCTCTCTCTCTCTCTCTCTTTTTCTCTCTTTTGACAGACAATGCACTCGCGTATGTCCACGATCGTTATTTCCTGACGGTGATCTCGGTCATTTCAAAATCGTACATGCGTATGCAGTTGCTACTAAAAACAAAAAAAAAAGAACCATTTCCTTTTCTAACGATTTATCTAACAATTTTTCTTCAATAAATTTTATTCGCGAATGCTGTACGAATTAATAATTATTCTATTTCATCGGACTGAACAATTTAAATATTACGTATATATTCGTCGTTAATCAATAAGAAATAAACAAAAAGATAACGATTACGTTTACTCGCATGAAACGTTTTATCCGATTTAAAATGAATAGAAATATTAATCAAATCGAATATATCTAATTACGATAGAGATCTGGCATTGAGATAAAGTTTCTCGCTTTATAATATATATATTATCTGTCCTCGCGTTCCAATAAAAATCTTCATTTCTTAGATTTTGCATATTAAAAAAGAAGGAATCATGATATTTTTACCGACAAAAATGAAAATGAAAAATTTCTAAAAAAAAGATATATATACATAAAATCGAATAAGAAGAAACAATGTTGATGAAACCGAAACGATGTTAGATATTTTAGTAAACTGTTGAGATATATGATTATATATATATATATATATATATCCCAAATCTACGTATGTACGTATAAATAATTTTCAAGATATTATCGATTAGGCAACGTGAACAACGTCTCTAACTCTTTCATATTTTTCATCGCGTTGAAAAATGTATCAACGAAAAAGTTCACGGATATATATATATATACATCTATATAGAGATGAAAAAAGAGAGTGATAGAAAGAAAAAGAAGGAAAGAGGGGAAAGGGGAAGGAAAGAGGAAAGAAAGAACGATCATAGAGTGTAGATACGATCAAAGTCAATTACAAGAGCTGACTAACGAGGACGGCGAGAACGAAGTATGGAATGAAGGAGGACGGTGGTAGAAAAGAAAGAGAGAGAAATTCGCAAAACGACGGGACGGATTAGTAAAAAGGAAATTCCGTCGGCCGGGACTGGTTGTAGTACCTGCGCGCTCGTTATTCAGATATCGGTAGTCGGACGGATAAGGGGGTAAGAGTGAGGGAGTGAGTGAGTGAGTGAGTGAGTAAATGAGAGTAAGAGAGACGGAGAGTGGGAAGGGGGAGGGGGGGAGAGAGAGAGCTTGGCGCAGCGCGCACTTTCTGTGGTATTGATTACAGCCTCCTATCCAGGTGCACAAGCAGGGTCAAATCTGCCCCTCTCTTCTCCACTGTTCCTCTTTTCCTCGTCACCCTTTCTCTCTCTCTCTCTCTCTCTCTCTCTCTTTTCTACCCCTACTACTATCCTTTCTAACCCCCCTTCCAGCTTCCTCGTGTACCTAACCCCTCTCTCTCTTTCTCTTTCTCTCTCTTGGTTCTTTCCTATTTCAACTACCATCCGTCGTCTCTCTTCCTCTTACCCTCTATTACTTTTCTTTCTTTTTCTCTACGTTCTTTGTTCCCCTTTTACTCTTCACTCGACCTCACCTTTCCATTTCACACCTCATCCACCTGTACGCATGTCGAATAATCGGAAAATAACACTACGATTTCGAGATACACACGATGCGAGCATCTATCTCATTCAAACATTTTTACTCAATTGTGTGTGTGTGTGTGTTTAATTAAAAAGATATTATTTTATAAAAAGTGATAATACGTGAAAGAAAAGAAATATCAAAGTTCTTGTTATTCTTGGCAATTTTAATAACGATATGAATAAAAAAGAATGTATAAAAGGGGATAAATGTTTTAATATATAAATTTTATAATGAAATATAAATCTAATTGAAGATAGATAAAATAAATGATGATACATGATAAATATAAGAGAATGTTGTTTTGATTATATTGTATATTCGTAAAGAAAAGAACGAATAAGTCCAATTCTCAAAATCGTTGGTAAACGTTTTCGGCATCGATTAGCATTACCTGCGAACTCTAGGAGGTACTACGATACACATCGCTGTTCACTGGGAAAACCGCGATCCTAACCTCCTGGTTATCTAATCTTATAGTACTAAAAGGAGTTCAACTTGGAAACTTCGAACGTACACTTCTTTTTATTTCTTCTTCATTCTTTTTTTTTTCTTCTTTTCTTTTGGTTTCCTAGGGTAAATACGTAATAGCTTATCGCATCTTTTTTCTTGTAAAAAAAAAGAGAAAAAAAAAGAAGAAGAAGACGAAAATCATAGAAGAGAAAATGATAAGGGAAAATCAAGAGAGAAGCTAGTTGTTGTTGGTTGATATTTTTTCGAAAATAAATATCGACACCATCATAAAATTTGGCTAATGCGTGTTTAACGCATAATGAAAAAGATCATTCTCATCGAGCAAGCCACGAATGTTATAATTTTGTTCCGGTAACGCGTGTGACCTATATAATTATATTCGGTAAATGTACACACAAACAAACACACACAAAGACATACATACCACATAACGAGTCTTTCGTTAAACGTTCCACAAGTAACTCTAAACCACCAAGAGATTCCTATCCCTTTCATCAAGCAATGTCCAAGCAACGTCCAAGCAACGTCCAAGCAACGTTCCTCCTAATTCGAAATTCTAATCTAACGATCCGAAACATTTCGATAGGAAGTAGAATTGGAATCTGAACGAGTGCGCGTTGTTCGATTGGAATAGTCAGGAAAGTTCTCGGATATTTGATCAGCCGTTTTCGCATATTGTCTCTTCTCGATGAAAATGACTTCGTTATAAGTTCGAACAATACGTACATACGTTTATACTTATTTATATTGGATTCCAAATTTCGAATGATCATAATAAATAACACTTTTCAAAGAAAACAACAACAACAACTAATATAAATTAGAGATAGAGAGTGAGAGACGAACAAATTCAAATTCTTCATATCAAAAATGTATGCTTGATTATTTTTTAAATAAAATGAGGATGGAATCGTTCGAATAAAACACCACAACCTTCGTTATTTGTAGATATTGTCGAAGAGTAAAGCGTGCACGATGTGCCACGACTAAACGATCGTTTTAAACGACATATATAAAGAAAAAAAAAAAGGGAGAGAGAGAGAGAAAACAAAAAAAGAAAAAACAAAGGCAGAACAAACTGCGATCGATCGACGACATAATTTATACTCGGTTATAGGACTCGTGGGTCCTATTTTTTGCATTACCAGATACCCTTGCTGTTCTACGAAACCCGACGTTGAATGAATCATAAAAGGAAACGTTGCATGACATTTTCTACGATCCTATATAAAATCTCATTTACCTTCGAAACATTACTGACAATACACACTTTCAAAGCAAACGAAATATTCTTTTTAACTAGGAAGCAAAAAAAAAGAAACTTGCGCTTTCAAAACTAATATGTATGAATGGCAATTGTATAAGTATTTTACTACGTTATTATCTAAAGCGATGCTTTGAAGTCAAGTTGAATGACGCACAAAGTAGTCCGGTAGAAACGAATTTATCTTAATCCGACTATGAAAGACTTGTAGTGTATCCGACTAACTCAGCTTTTTAACTCGTTCTCTTTCGAGCTTTGCAAACCGTCTCATGCTAAGTAACAAAATAAGTTACTTTTCCATTTTACTACGACAAGATAAATATAACGCGTTATTGAATCTAAATACTCGTTACGTTCAAATGCAAACACACATAAAAATGGTTATTAATTTATTAGGAATATTATTAAAAAAACGGTCGAAAACCATAACATGAACTCGGTGATACATTAATATATTGTACAAAATATATTATATACATATATTTTACTTTGAATTCAATTAACTTCTTCCATTTGAAATTTTGAATCGTATCCGCAACAGATCTCTACTCACTATCTAATAGTTATGTATCTATGTATATACGTATAGATATGTTTTATATTGCCTGTAGCATGGAACAATTAAAATTTTAATTATCATCAACATTAACCAAATTTTTTTCTCTTATCAAGTTTTTTTCAATCTGTTGTTTTTATTATCTCTTCATGTAAACCAATTCGAAATGATTAACGGCCCATTAATTACAGATTGATGATATCAAATGAATTTATCATTTAAACAATACCACCATGTCATTCAGGTATGTAGTCACACAAAGTGCGCTTTAAAATGCCACCCCTTTTACTTTTCTATAGTAAACTGTAGAACGATGTGTCGATCCTCTCTATTTTTCTAGCGCGTGGAATACTTGAACGACCTACATAGGTGGATAGTAGATGTCTACTTTTTTTTTTCTCTCTCCCTTTTCTCAGATCGAAGAGAATGGGCCGATCCAATGGTAAAACAGAAACCGAGGAAAAAACAAGAGAAAAGGAAAGAGAGAGAAAGACACGCTTTATTATCATGGAAATATTGGATTCTCAAAGGAACCCTACCACGCTCGCACCAATTCCTAACAGTTTGCTCACAGTTACGTTGTAAACGTGCGAACACCGACGCCTTCAGCAAAACGATATTGAAAAAGTAAACCAGTTTTATACAATCACTTTTTTATTTCTTATTCTTATTCTAATTTTTCTTCTTCTCTTCCTATTTCTACTTCATCTTCTTCTTCTTCTTATTCTTCTTTTACTTTCTTTTTTTTATTTTTATTTTCAAGATTGATACACATGGGAAAATTTGTGTATCACCAAGTTATATTTTATTTTCTAATCTTTAAATATTTTCTTCTCTCTCTTTATATTTTTTCTTAATATTTTCATGATATATATATATAAATCGTTACGCGTGCGTGGATGTGTGTGTGTGTGTGTGACGCATACATTTTTTTATTCTAATGAACGAGTCGGTAAAAATAAATTAAATATAAAAATGTATTCCATATTGTGTGACTTCTACGATGAATATTTTACTTTCCTAGCAAAAATAAAAGATGAAGAAAAATAAAGAAAAAAGAAAAATTATATAAAAATTTGTTTTTGTTTACAATACACGAGATGGTTTAATATAATATCTTAACCAAAAGCTTTCCCAGTATTATTATACTTCATTTCGAATCGCTTCAAGTATTTCCTACGGGTCTTTTTTCTCATTTCACTTTTTTTCCCCTTTTTTTTTTCTTCTCCTTCTTCTTCTTCTTCTTCTTCTTTATTTTCTCATCCAGGAACATTATCCATTCCTCTATTTACTTGGAATCGTACAGAGTGCTTTTCATTTACAGAAGCGAGTTAAAAGAAATCCCAACCGTTTACTAAACTCCAGCTCTTTTTCGATTCTTTTTTTCTCTTATCGTAAAATGACGGGTTGCAGTTGATACGAGTGTAAGAGGGAAGGGGAGTAAAAGAGTAAAGGGTTAAAAGCCAGTTGCGGATGCTCCAATTACATAGGAGAATAACTTTATCAAATGCTAAAAAAGTAAAAAAAAAAGAAAAAGAAAAAGAAGAAGAAGAAAAGTTCGTTTAATATCCTGATCTTTTGATTGGTATCGATATTTTATTATATTATAAAATCAACATTTATCCTCTTTCCTTTCTTCTTTTCCTTCTATCCGTGTGCGTATAATTATTATTTCATAAATCATTTATATTGAAACACTTTTTTATTGCAAATAAAAATCATATAAATTCCATTTGTGACTTTATATTCTTGAAATCTTTAGAAAAACGGAAAGAGAGAATTAAACGTTTCTCTTATGTTCAATAAGTATTTACTTCATAACATTAAATTCTAAATGTAATCTCTATTGATTAATGCTCTTTGAGTAAGTTGAACGTTCGATTTTTCATTCCGGGTTATTAACTCGAGTAAAGTTAAAAAGATATATATCCAGGAACCTTTAGAAAGCTTTTTGAGGAATATCGTTAACAAGATAAAACGTAAAAATAACTTGTTAATAATGATCTAAATGAATAAATAAATTGTAATACGTTATTTCTCAAATATTGAATGCATAGTTAATCAATGATTTATTATAGTACCATATATAAAGATTCGAATAAAAGAAAAAAGTATTGAATGCATATAATATATACTGTGAATACGATATTAAGGTCATATTATTTTTGACTCGACCTGTATTCGACATCTTCCTGTTATGCCACTCCTGTTCGTCAAGCTAGCAACCTCTCAGGTAATAGCATCGCATCACGTTGAGTGATTTTACACTCTTCCGGCTCCCCTGTCAATATCCTCGATAAATTAAGAACTCGAGATGGAAAAAATGAAGCTTGGGATAGGAAAGAACGGAGAATGAAGTGACGAAAATAAAGATAAAGATAAAGAGAGTTAGAGAGTGAGACAAAAACATTCCTTTAACTCTTTGATATTTAAATTTCGAGTTGAAAATCCACTGATACGTGTATATGCTATTATTATTGTTGTAATTACGAAATAGATAAAATTTAGTAGAGAATATGTTCTCGTATCATCAGCTGCGAGATTCTTGTCTATTCTCGTGGATTACCACATTTACATATCCCATAGACAGTATAGAGATGAAATGAAAATGTCCAGTTCTCTAACCAAGAAAATTTGCACTGCAAACATTTCCAGGTAGCGCGCTGTGCAAATACCAAACACGTAAGTATGCCACGTTGGAATATTACACGTGGTTCTAAAATTTTCTCTCTTTCTCTTTTTTTTTTATCTTTTTCTCTCTTTATTTATTAACGCACACGCTTGCTAACCCATATGATTTATCTACCTCGGAAAACCTGTCTTTTTATCATTGATATGAGACAAGAGAGAAAAAAATAAATGATGCAAATAATCGAGTGATATTTCATCTTAATATTTAATAAAACAAATTTTGTGGAACAATTCATTAACCTGCATAGAGAGGAATATTTATAGAGTATGTTATTTTCTTTATTATTTTCTACGTTTTTAAACTTTGTCCCCCGAATGTTGTAATTTCGGGACACGATTATAGGAGCATTCATTATTAGAACCTGTAAATAAATACACGAATAAAGGTCCAGAGGAAAAGAGACAGACAGATAGATAGATAAAATAGACGTTTTCTTTTATTTCATCATAATGAAATTAAAATACCGTTAAAAATATCGTAATTTATATTTTTATTAACATTTACGAATTTTTAATATAATTTCTATTCGTTACATGACACAAATTTCATCGAATCCAATTTTTTTCAATTATATCTATCCACAACAAAGCAAGAGCGTATCTTATTCTATATATTTTATCTGTAACATATTCTACGGTATAGATAACGTATTAAACTTTGTATTTTATAGTACAAAGCCTTAATTGTAGAAGTCCAGTAGTTTAAGGTCTGAATATTTAGTTGGTCAGGTTATGTGTCTAGCTCAAGCAATCCATCGTTTTTTACGGCAAAGTTTTATTCAGAAAATCAAGGAAGTTTCAGAAATAGTGAAATGGAGGTTCATCTTGTTAAAAAATCATATTGTGAACATCTAACTGGGGAATGAGAAAATTGATCAACAAGTTGAAATAGACAATCACAGTGCATGTACACTTGAGAATTCTCCAACACGGGGAACTATTTTCCAAATCGTTGATTCGGATAGGTTATGTTGAAATGATGAAAACAAGAATTAATTATATAAAATAAAAAACCTGATGGAGCCAACAGAAATAGAAGAATTTATTTCCTCGTTAAGCATAAAAATCCTTTTGAATAAAAGATTAGGAGCATATAATGTGAGCTAGATTGTCTCTCGTCGTTGGTTGTTTCACACTGAGAGGCGAATTATTATGGATAGTACTGACAAGTTGGGATTCACCTGGTAAATCAGGGTAGTCCCACTTATTTGTTGCAATGTTAGTGGAACAGTAAGCTTGTTGGCTTTGAACTTCAGCATGTCGTACAAATGTAAAAAGATATGATGTGTGGTACAATAGAATGATTATAATTGAATATAAAAATAATTATTCGATCATTAAAATTCGTCTTGCTCGCGGCTAAAAGGGATGATTGTGATGCAAAAATGGATGATCCGTTGTTTTTTCTTTCAAAAGATTTGTCTTCGAGATCGACCGACAAGAGAATCTTGCTCGCAGCTACAAGAGGAGCCTTTGTGATGCAAAAATGGATGATCCGTTGTTTCTTTCCAAAGATTTATCCCCGAGATCGTCCGGCAAGAGAATAAAAAGAACGCCTTCGGAAGCTGGCTCAGCAAAGGGCAAACTAAGAGTAAGGATGTGACTGATTACTGTTTTGGAAAATTTCGAAAAAAATTCAATACACATTTAAAAATCTACGATCGTTTCCATTGTGTATAAATAATGACAGAAAATTCTGTGAATAAAAAAGTTTGAGTGCAATAAAGAAAACTTGAAGTGTTATTGATCGTTAAAACAACATACCTTATAGTAATATTTCAAATAATTTAATCAAAATAAATTAATGAAGTTGTGTTAATTCGATTATGGTACATTCTCTGTTATCTTTCGAATAATTTAATTAACGCGAAGAAACAATACCTTGGAAATCATCCCCGACATCTTTTTCGAAAGAAAGCAATTACTAATTAAAAATTTGCTAAATTACTTTAGAAATATCGTTCTTATTAACACCACCTTTCGAGTTTTCTCCTTTCGAGTTTTCTCCTTTCGAGTTTTCTCCTTTCGAATTTTCTCAAAAAGGAAAACCAGAGATAACAATAAAGACAAAGAACTTCTGTTTTACGATAGATTTTACATGATTTTCTCAAGTCGTACCTATTCCATTCTTCTCCTTATCGTTCTTATCGTTCTTCGTAATACGCGAAATACTTGCTTGTACTTATATAAATGATGAAATCAACTTAAGCAAAAATCACCAATTTGGTGGAAACTTTTGCTTACGAAGAAAGTTGAAAATATCTATGATAACAATCATTTTACTAACGCAATGTTACTCGACATGAAAATTATCTACGTTTAATTATAACTAAAGAAAGAGAGAAAGAATAAACGAGTGGATAAAAAGGGCCAAGACATTTATTTATCATTTAGTTTAGCTTGGCACGCGATTCACGAGAGTATAATATTCTAGAATAAGAGGAAGAAGAAAAATAAGCAGAAGGAGAAAGAGAAAATGAGAAAATCAACGACGACGTAGAAGATGGACGAATGATAAACGTTAGTGTTGGTAAGAAGGATGACGAAGAAAAGGAAAACAGTAATACAAGCATAGCTCTGCGACCGGTGCGTTTTATGAAAAAGAGAGAGAAAGAGAGAAAAGATTGTCGAGGAAACCGGAGACAGAAAAAAATGAAAGAGGAAGAAACCTAGGGTGAGAAGCAACGGAGAAACGTTAAGGACCCATAAAAGAGAAAAAGGAATATAAAAAGATATAAAAATAAAAAATAAGAAATAAACAAGTAACACACTTTAGAAAATACGAGAACGCAAAAGCTAATATAACAGATTTTCTATTCGTAAGTATGTAATCCATTGAATATAAGAAGTATAGTGATAGTAAAGTACTATCACCATAAAGTGATATTAAATTTCATAGAGTATGGCTTTATGAGTATGGAGTATAAAGGATATTCTTTAACGTGATATTTTTATTCCATTTTTTACAACAATATAATTTCGTATTAATTAACACGTTGAAAATATTTTTAATGAATAAGTAATATATCATTTAAAAGAAACGATTAAATACACAAATTTAATGATTATACTACAGATACTACTTCGCGTATTTTATTTTTTCTTATTTCTTTCCAATAGAAAAAATTTACAACTTTCTTCGCTCAATAAAAGAAAATGAAATGAAGGAGGAAAAAATGTTCTAGAACGAATCAATGCGTATACCCATTCAATCGTTATTTCCACTTCCTAGCAATTTTTTAACATTTCTCCATCGAAAACACTTTCCTCGTTAAAAACCTTTTAATCGAGTTTCCACGCAAGGAGCCATGAAAGAAGCAAAGCCCTTTTCGAGAATGGCGAACCACGAAAGCACAAATCACTCTCTCTCTCTCTCTCTCTCTCTCTCTCTCTCTCTCGCGCACACACACATATACGTATAGAGAATCTTTCCAAGAAAAGGACAGACTCGCAATGAGTACTTTCGACCTCTTTTTCGTTTTTCTTTGATTTTCATCAATGAAAATGTGCACCGATAGATTTCTCCTAAAGCAAAATTATCCAAAAATACTATTGCAACATTGACAATGGCCATCTGTGAACTCCGATTGGTCCATATTAAAATCTTACGAATTGTTTCGATCATCTGCGAACATCGATTGGTACATATTAAAATTTGACAATTCATTTCGATGTTTTCTGTGTTATAAATTCGAATATTCATCTCCCTTTCCTTTTCCCTTTCTTTCTCTCTCTCTCTCTCTCTCTCTCTATCTATCTCTCTCTCTATTGTTATCGCAGTGTTATCTTAAAACACGAACCCTTGTCCTGATAGGCGTCAGAATCGATAGGAACAAACTCGTTCATTCGTATTTCGAACGATATCGACGCTGCTAATCTTTTCGTTCCGATGAAACTCTGACGTAAAACTAAAAAAAGAACAAACAATGAAATAGTAAAAAAAAAAAAAAAAAAAGACCGTAAACAAAAAAAGAAATATAGGATTGACAAAACGAAGAGTAAAAGTCGATCAGGGATGGAGAACGGCACTGTTCCGAGTTGTAGACGGAATGAAGGACATATATACATACATAGATCGACGACGTTGCTCGGATTAAAGGATCTCCTCCTCTTTCTCTCTCTCTCTCTGTCTCTTTCTAGTAGATACATGAACAGGATGGATCGTTCGATAGGATTAAGAGTAATCGTTCCATGTTTTCTTGCTTTTTATTTTTCCTCTCCTATTTCTTCTATATACGAAATCTCTCAATGTATTTATATACGGGATGTCCCAAAAGTCTCTTTACCAAACTGAAAATGTATAAATTATGTTGTTGTAGTTATTTGCAATCTTAGGCATCATAGACCAACGCATTATCAACAACGTTCTAACTAGAGATTCAAATCTTCTAATGAAATACATTATCTTGTAATTCTGTTCTTGCAATATTGTTCTTTTTCCATTATTCTAACTAAAATTATTATTGAAACATCCTTTATTGTATACAAATGCGCATATTTAATTATATATGTCTCATAGTTTTTTTCATTAGATTTTATTATGACAGATTATGCAAATGGAATTAGAAATCTCTAGATAAAGATCTGATAAAATATATTATGACAAATCCCATGTTCAAAAATCAAGGAACAAAGACACGAAATATGAGGAACAGTATTGGTTAACTATTTTGATCGGTTAAATAATCGAAGCACTCTCCCAATCGATAACGACGCCATTTGTGCAGAAATAATTTTGATTGATCTGCGTTGTTATGGAATTAATTTCGAAACGTGGATCCTCCTCTACAGGCCTGTGTTACATCATAGTTCACACCGATCGGCATGGTCATTAACTTGCTTTTAGCGTGAAAACATTTTGCTCTAAGCGATTGATTCGATCCAAAGGTAAAGCTATTCCTACCTTTGAATGCTTTTCATTAACTTGGATAAGTGTATTCAATTTTCTTCGATAACTTCTTTCCTTTTGATTTCTTTTCAACATTTTTTTAATTTACTTTTAAAAAATAAAAGAAAATTATATTTAAATAGAAATTATTTATTATTTTATTAATCTATATCTGTATTTTTCTCATTCATTTTTTTTTCCTACAACCATATTATTCATTATAACATTAAGCTTATAGTATATAATTATATTGCTTTTTTAAATTGTTTTTTTTTTAAAGAAAATGTATGTTCTCGTTCATGCATCAAATTGACCGAAACCTAGCTTAGTTTATACACTTCAAAAAGCTCATCCAAAACCAAATATGATACTAATCTATCTCTATTCAGTTAATTCATAAATAAATCGATACATAAACACGATATATTGTACAATCATAATTCGTTGGATAAAAAAATATCTTACAATAAAACGCGATTCTTATTTTACAAATAGAAAATTATATATTACATTTCCAGTCTGAAATAATATTAAGACAAAAAAAAAAGAAAAAGAAAAAAAAAAAGAAAAATAAAAAGACAAAATTTCAGAAAACAAAAAGGATAACAAGTTAAGAAAGATAAGATCATTCAGAGATTGGCGTTAGAATACGATACAGCTATTCCATTCGAATTATTCGAAATTAGAATTTGGAGAGCTGCCGGTGAGTACCGCAGACGCGCCCGGCGGGCAACTAGGGCTTGCCGAAGGGATGAATGCCAGACGGGAGGGGGTTGCATGTGAGGTGGATATGGGGGTAACTCGACGAACGGGCCTTCCTCTGTCTTCGCGGTGGGCTCGATATGTCGTCGCATCGAGGCCGACGCGCTATTGCGATTGACGTACAACCGCAACGTCGACGCCGCAATCACTAAACGCAAAACCGTGGATAGACGTGTATATAGATGTGTATTAGTGTGTGTGTGTGTGGGCACGAGTGATTGCATATGTATACGAGTATGTATATACGCGTGCATACATTTGTATGTCTCTGGGTTCGTGTATTTGCCCATACGTATCTTTCGGTTTCACTAATACGAAACGGCCCTCGCGCGCTCCGTTAATCTGTTTTGTTTCCCAAATTGCATTCGACGCGGTATGCATTACGGAGTCGACCAAACGAAATTTGACGTGAGTTAGAGAGAGAGAGAGAGAGAGAGAGGGAAAGAAAGGATGAGAGAAAGAGAGAGAGAGAGAGAGAGAGAGAGAGAAGTTTGATTCTACGAATAATGGATCTCTAATAACAATCGATTCGATTTCTCACACGAAGATGTTTTCATATTCTTTAACTTGAAACAATCGATACAATATTAAAGAATGATCAAATGATATAATTATATAAGATTAATTATATTTTATCAGACTCTTTTTTTTAATCATTTTATATTTGGATATACAAATATATTTTATCGAAATATTATACTATTTCTTCTTTTGATCCTATTTAAATAATATGATATTTTAGATAGAAGGGGAACAAATTTTTATTCTTCGATGTACACTTTATGTGTCCGTATGTGTATATATATATATATGAATATATAAATGAATGTAAGTATGCATGTATATGTTTCTACATTTTCGTACTCTATCCGCAAGTACATCCAGTGATGCGAGATGATTTCCTTGGAAAAATAAAAGGAAAAAAGGTTGAAAAGAGAAAGCCAGAGATTTTATCCGATTTTGAAGATAGAAGGTCTTATCATTCAACAGTGAAACCAACACAGATAGAGAAGAAAAGAAAAAGTGCATGTCGAACGGAACTACGATTTTCCGCCATTGGAAAATTTCAAATATTCCAAAAAAGAATGGAGAAGAAAGAGAAAGAAAAAGAAAGAGAGAGAGAGAGAGAGAAGGAAAGATAGAGAAGAAAAGAGAACTAGATCTAGTAAAATGAACTTTCTCTCTCTTTTTCCATTTTCTTTCTCTTTATCTTCTTCCTTTCTTTCATTTTTTTTCTTTCGAGGGTCAAGCGGACCATCGATAATCGTCGCTATTCACGTAAGCTGGTTCTTTAGGAATGCGAAAGAAAACGATAGGCAAACCCAACAAATGCAAAGTTAGCCTCAAAAAAGTAATGATTCTCGTGAGAGGCCTGCCGAATATTTGAAAACGTGTTTTCCCTGACAATCATCCGGAAGTGAAAGCACGGCTAGATACCCAAATGTTAGGTATGCGCACACGCGACAAATACAAAGCCAAACAAACTTCTTTTTTACCGAATGCTTAGCAAATATTTTATTTCCATGCTATTTCAACAAAATCCTATATGGGAAAATCTTTATAAAATAATTTTATCAATATCGCTTATCGAACTATATATATCAATGTGTGTGTATACACAAATAATAATTAATATTATTACAAATCCTGACAAATTTAAATTACTATAAATAAATACAATGGATAAAACATAGCGCATAATTATTTCTTTATATCTAATATTTAACATCAAATGTCTAAAAATAGTCTTCAATGATGTATTTATTTATAAGAAATTAAGTGCTATTAACCACTAAAATGAGGTGCTGCTATCTTTTATTCAGTTACCGTAGGAACGCTGGCAAGGAACCTTAACAGCAGAAAAAAATGAATAAGTGCTCCTATTTGCACACTATTTGCACACTATTTGCTCAACTTTATTACATCAAATATTTTTTATTCATCGTCAATTAGTTGAAAATAATTATTACACTTTGAATAATTATGAAATAGCGACGTCATGAGTGGGAGATATGTTATACACTTGGAAAAAAATGAAAGTAAAGATGATATACCTGCAGGGAATATATTTAAAGATGAATTCTAAAGTAACAACCTATAAGGTAGTGAAAAGAAATAGTTAATCGTTGATAATGTATAAACAATAGGTGATTATTTTCATTTTTTTCTGCTGTTGCGATTCTATGCCAACTTTTTTGTGGTGAAATATATAGAAACTCACAAGTCCCCTTTTTTATCTACCCAGCATCATTTTTGTTACYACYGGGACCACCAKTGGACGAWAGTAKGTACTTAACGCGATGACGGTACAATACTATCAAAGGATACAATATACTTTGATAGTATATATAGTATAGTTATATTGTAAGAAAATTTAAAATAATTAGATTTAATTTATAGTGTCTAGATACGTGTGTGCCTTCAGAAATGCGTTTTTTATACATATATATTTTAAAAAGTAGAAGAAAATCAAAACGAGTAGATGATAAATCCAACGATGATCACCTGTAACAAAAAGAAAACTATATTAATCATTCAATCAAGTCATACAATAGCCTGACATATAAATCGTCCCATTCGCAGATGCACTTTTCAATTGAATTCTCTATTTATTTTTATCAAATCTCTATTTACCGTWGCAATGAAATTAAATTTAAACGCGTGATTTTACATTAACATAAAATATATAAAAATAAAGAAATAGGAAAAGTACAAATATTAAGTTACTATAAAAAATAGTATCTATTAATTATTATGAAATACTTTTAAGCTGCATTATATAGAAAAGAAAAATTGCAAATTTAATAAAATACGAACAAAATGACAAATTTTAAAGACGAAACAAGAAAAAAGAAATTACTGTAATATTTATCGACCGTTATTTAAGCTCCAAAATTTAATATTACGAAAGTTTTTAATTTTTTTGACTCTAATTAACACATATGCATCTATTGGACGATATAGACACGAATTTGATGTCCCAAGGAGATGGAATGGTCCATCATCTCCAATTACAACTACAAATTAATGACGAGCAAAAAAGTAATATAATATAATATGACTAGAGAGCTATTCTCGAAAAGTTCTAACTTGCTGTTGAACCTTTGAAAATAACTCAATAGTCTATGTAGTTGCCCACTTGATACCACAAATT